AAAAAAAAAAGAAAATAATGGAAATGTCAAAAAAAATAAAAGAAAATAAGTTTCTCATGTGATATGTGGTCTAGTTGTTGGGAAAATTTGCAAATGTGAATTTTGGCTTTATTTGCAAAATCTCTCTGAAATTTGTAAAAATGGGCATAACTTTTGCATACTAACTCGGATGAAAAAGTTTTTTATATGAAAAATCATCTACTCGAAAAGTTACATCCAAATTTAACGGGGAAACCCCGTTAAACATTTTTAAAATCCTCAAAAACCTAATAAAAAAAGTTACGGGGCTTTTAAGATCTAGAGTGGAAAAAAATGAAAAATATTCAAACAGTGGGCAAACTGTGGTCAAACAATGGTCAAACTAATTATTCTAGAATATTAGTGTTACTAAATAATTATTTTAGTTATTTCAATTTTGGTCAAATCTGGTCAAACTGTGGTCAAACTATGGTCAAACTGTGGTCAAACTAATTATTCAAGAAATATTAGTGTTACTAAATAATTATTGTTTTTTAAAAACAATAGTTTCAAACTCAAACAGTGAAATGTGTCACTTCATGCTCAAGCAAAATTCCTGAAGGTTAATAGGATTGACATCTTACTATTGTCAGGAAAACAACAAGTGCAGACTTGGAGCGAGGGAGAATAGAACCCGGAAGTTAAGCGTGCTCGGGCTGGAGTAGTGAGAGGGATGGGTGACCGGTCGGGAAGTTAGATGATTTGGAATGAGTGATCCACACTTGAGCAGCTAAGAGAGGTGATTAGAGACTAAATCATCAAATAGTTCAAAAAAATTAAAAATAAAAAAAAATCCAAAATTTTCAAAAAAAAATTCAAAAAAAAAACCTTTAGTACCGGTTGGTTACCAACCGGTACTAAAGGTCCCCCGTACCAGGGCGCGAGCTCACGCCACGTGGTGGCACTTTAGCGCCGGTTCGTGCTGAACCGGTACTAAAGGGGGGGGGGCCTTTAGTGCCGAAATAATAGTGCTGGTTCCATAACCGGCACTAAAGGCCCTTACGAACCGGTGCTATTGCCCGGTTTTCTACTAGTGTATGTTTCTCGATTATGGAGGTGACAAAAAGGTTCGTCGTAAAGGGTTACATCGATGCAAGTTTTGACACTGATCCAGATGACTATAAGTCTCAATCTGGATACATATTGAAAGTGGGAGCAATTAGCTAGAGTAGCTCCATATAGAGCATTGTTGACATAGAAATTTGCAAAATACATACGGATCTGAATGTGGCAGACCCGTTGACTAAACTTTTCTCACAAGCAAAACATGATCACACCTTAGTACTCTTTGTGTGTTAATCACATAGCGATGTGAACTAGATTATTGACTCTAGTAAACCCTTTGGGTGTTGATCACATGACGATGTGAACTATGGGCGTTAATCACATGGTGATGTGAACTATTGGTGTTAAATCACGTGGTGATGTGAACTAGATTATTGACTCTAGTGCAAGTGGGAGACTGAAGGAAATATGCCCTAGAGGCAATAACAAAGTTATTATTTATTTCCTTATTTTATGATAAATGTTTATTATTCATGCTAGAATTGTATTAACCGGAAACATGATACATGTGTGAATACATAGACAAACAAAGTGTCACTAGTATGCCTCTACTTGACTAGCTCGTTGATCAAAGATGGTTATGTTTCCTAGCCATAGACATGAGTTGTCATTTGATTAACAGGATCACATCATTAGGAGAATGATGTGATTGACTTGACCCATTTTGTTAGCTTAGCACACGATCGTTTAGTATGTTGATATTGCTTTCTTCATGACTTATACATGTTCCTATGACTATGAGATTATGCAACTCCCGTTTACCGGTGGAACACTTTGTGTGCTACCAAATGTCATAACATAACTGGGTGATTATAAAGGTGCTCTATAGGTGTCTTCGAAGGTACTTGTTGGGTTGGCGTATTTCGAGATTAGGATTTGTCACTCCGATTGTCGGAGAGGTGTCTCTAGGCCCACTCGGTAATGCACATCACTTAAGCCTTGCAAGCATTGCAACTAATGAGTTAGTTACGGAATGATGTATTACGGAATGAGTAAAGAGACTTGCCGGTAACGAGATTGAACTAGGTATTGAGATACCAACGATCGAATCTTGGGCAAGTAACATACCGATGACAAAGGGAACAACGTATGTTGTTATGCGGTCTGACCGATAAAGATCTTCGTAGAATATGTGGGAGCCAATATGAGCACCCAGGTTCCGCTATTGGTTATTAACCGGAGACGTATCTCGGTCATGTCTACATAGTTCTCGAACCCGTAGGGTCCGCACACTTAAAGTTTTGATGACAGTTATATTATGAGTTTATGAGTTTTTATGTACCGAAGGAGTTCGGAGTTCCGGATGAGATCGGGGACATGACGAGGAGTCTCGAAATGGTCAAGTCGTAAAGATTGATATATTGGATGACTATATTCGGACATCGGAAAGGTTCCGAGTGATTCGGGTATTTTTTTAGAGTATCGGAGAGTTACGGGAATTCGTATTGGGCCTTAATGGGCCATACGGGAAAAGGAGAAAAAGGCCCCAAAGGGTGGCCGCACCCCTCCCCATGGGCTAGTCCGAATTGGACTAGGGAGGGGGGCGCCCCCTTCCTTTCTTCTCCTTCTCCCTTCCCTTCTCCTACTCCAACAAGGAAAAGAGGAGTCCTACTCCCGATGGGAGTAGGACTCCCCCCTTGGCGCACCCTCCTTGGTCGGCCGCCTCTCCTCCCTTGCTCCTTTATATACGGGGGCAGGGGGGCACCCTAGAGACACAAGTTGATCAAGTTGATCGTCTCTTAGCCGTGTGCGGTGCCCCCCTCCACCATAGTCCACCTCGATAATACTGTATCAGTGCTTAGGCGAAGCCCTACGTCGGTAGAACATCATCATCGTCACCACGCCGTTGTGCTGACAAAACTCTCCCGCGACACTCTGCTGGATCGGAGTTCGAGGGACGTCATCGGGTTGAACGTGTGCAGAACTCGGAGGTGCCGTACGTTCGGTACTTGGATCGGTCGGATCATGAAGACGTATAACTACATCAACCGCATTGTCATAACGCTTCCGCTTTCGGTCTACGAGGGTATGTGGACAACACTCTCCCCTCTCGTTGCTATGCATCACCATGATCTTGCGTGTGTGTAGGAAATTTTTTAAAATTACTACGTTCCCCAACAATTCCCACGTGGTATAAAAATTACTAGTAAGTGTTACGAACTTGCATTGTATTCCTACTTATTGAGGCTCTTTTTACGATGTAATACACCGGAAGTGGCCTCTCAGTGAGGAGCCCAACAGCAGGTCCGCTCCTGGGCCTATGAAGCTTTACATGGTCCAACCACAAAAGGGAGCCCCTGAGTTTGGATAAGCATCAAGAGATTATCTTGGCTCCGCCTAAAAAAAGAGATTATCTTGGCGTGCAAGTCATCATAGTGGTGCAAGATTAAATCTACCCTATGTAAAACCTTAACCCCCGTCACCTATATAAGGTGGGGCCTATGTATGGGCCAAAGTCCTTCTATTCCACGCACTACGCGCGGAATAGTCAAGGTAACACACACGCTCTCTCGCTGAGTAGTCCAGCCCACTATTGGTTTGGTTGGGATGAGTTCTTTTTTTAATTTAGGCCAAACTTTCTTTGAACCAGTGGTGCAATAGTTACCACGGCAACACCTGCTTCGGTCTAGCCCCTTGCCCTGATTTGAGTCGGTTATTTGAATAAAAATTTAAACTAGATGCGACTAGGAACCGGTTATAATTTTTTACAAACGAAAAAGATTAAGAAAATTTTAAAAATATTCATGATTTTCTTTGAATACTCACAAAGTTTACTTATTTATGAATTCTAAAAACAAGTCGCCAGTGTTAAAACATTTCAAAAAAATAAATATTTAAGAGAAAAAGTTGGAAATGCTTAAGCAATGTTCTTGATTATTTTTGTGAATTATAAAATAAAAAAGAGGAGAACAAATGAAAAATCAGGAAAACCACGGAAGAAAAATTATAGGAAATAAAAAGAACGAAATAAACCATTAGAAAGAGAAAATGTGAATAAAACGAAAACCAAAATAACCATAGTAAACCAACTAAAACCGTCTGAAAAAATAGCCAAAACAAAATGCAAACACAAAATGAGAACTGGCAGACAGAGACCGCTGTACGCTGGCTATCCTGCTCTGTTATTACACGTGGAATAGGATTCTTCGTACGGGCGCAGTGTGCCGAATCACCATAGCTTCCCTATAAATCAAAGCTAGCACATTCTTGAATCCTTTTCAATGTAGTGTAGTGCAACTACATTGCCTCCCTGCACCAACACAACCACTTCTACATGGAATTCGAGTACTCGTATTCTCTCTTTCACGGTAAGCATGTTCTTGATTTCTCTATCTATCTAGTATGGACTATGTTTGTTTATGCCTAGTGCTAGCACTACTAGGGATTATAGAGTTGTTTCACTAATCACAATAGAAACTGCAACACACAACTCGCCCGCAAAAAGGAGAAAAGAACTGCAACTCAACTTGGAATTCAAATTCACAAAACATAGTTAGAATGCTTTAACACAAGGTAAATACTCGATTGGTAAAATGCAGAAAAAATCGTATACAACAGGGGACACAAAGAATGGACTCGGATAAGCAATGTCATGCAAGAAGCACATCCTTGTAACATGCTCAGACTATTTGAGTCGTTGCATGAGTAAGAGGGGAATTTAAAATACTTCACACCGCTTTCTTATATCCTGACAAATAAGCATCCACTCATTTATATATAAAATACAGATACATAATTGTATATACAAATCTTTCACTATCATACAGGGAAAGATGCGTTCATATACAATACAACGCCTTTTACCTGGCTGATAAGTGTGAAATAGAGGCGGTGGCCTTGGATGCAGTGGATGAACTGGACGTGGATGTTTCTCCTCGCACTCTACTTATTGAATCAATAAAAGTGGGCCTTGTGGGTAGTATCTCTGGAGAATTTCTTGATAACAACAACACAACTACCTCTGACATAGTTGGCCTTGAAGCAACTACTGATTGAGTGCAGAGAAGCGCTATCTCTATTATTCTTATTACCTCTTCTGGCATATATTCTTCGTGATCTAACGATCCATCCACCAACTTAATCACGTCCTCATTTTCATATAGCTTCCATGCCTGTATAGTCAATGGGTGTAATCAAATGCATGTCTTAAGATAGCATGAAGTGTGCACACAGAAAGAGACCTCAATACAGTAGATACAAAATGATCACATCTTCATTAATTATTAAAGTCATGCCTATTTAAGCTTCTTACTAAGGAAAGGTGCTTGGGAAAGACTGGTGTGCAATAAGTATATTGGCTCGATGGCCCTGTCTCTGACCAATTAGAAATCTGGGGACTCACATTTTTTTGGGATGGTCTGATGACTGTGAAAGAGCACTTCTTTTGCTTCATATCTTTTGCTATTATTAGAGACAGACCAAAATTTCATTTTTCTATAACAAGTGGTTGGACAACGCCACCTTTCGCCAAAAAATAATACACTCGCAAAAGTATTGAGTATGTATGTGGCTAATGTGTCTTTTAAACAAGATCTAGTCGGTTAGTGCCTCGCAACATGGTGTGCGGTGTTGGGGTTGGTCCATTTATTGCAAGGCCATGGGGTTTAACGTTGGAATCTCCATCAGAATGGTAGATTCCTGGTTGACTCAATATACCACGTATTCGTTCACTCAAACTCGCCAGTTGTAAACAACAAAAGGATCCAGAAGTTGAAGGTACCACTAAAATTAAAATATTTTTCTGGTGCCTGCATTAGGGTGTGATCCTGATACAGGACAACCACATTCACCGGAACTGGCTGGTAGTAAGTTGTGTTGTTGCAGTCATGAAGTTAAGCCATAAAATACCTCTTCTTCCAATGCAAGTTCGTGTGTGCTACATCATTAGTCCTCCAAACTATCTCTAACATCTATCCTCCACATATAGTGTTACCAACATTAGATGGCATAGATCACATGCTTAGACTAGCCATAGTGGGGAGTAACTTTGAGTAATAACATGCATATGTTACTAGTCTATGTTACTACCTCTATAGTGGAGAGTAACATATGTGTGGTGTCATGCAACACTTCATTTATTAGGTTGTAAACTCATCTTGTCTTGGTATATGTGATGTTACTCATAATATGAGTAACTAGCTATGTTACTCTATTTGTCTCTCTCCTCATTAATTAGTTGCCACATCATCTTTTTTGCTTAGGTGTCATCTACGTTACTCCCACTATGCGATGCATAAAGGTGGGAATGATAGTCCGACTATGTAGAATTGTAATGCGTTTAATGGTAAGACTCCTCTCCTTTGTTGGTCATCTACCGGTGTATTCATTGGCATTCTATGTTACACATCAACGAGATGAGCACCAACCTCCATATTTGATGGTGTGTAGTGACTGGAGTGACTAACGAAGGATTTTTCTTATTACTCAACATGGATGGAAGCACAGTCTCCGGAGTGGCCCCATGCAAACCTCTCCTTAGGCAGCCCCTTTGGTCTTAATAGACTTTTCATGTTTGCCATCATATAACCGTGTGCGTGTGCGCGCGTGTGCTTGGGCATCATAGTTATGTAGAGGCCGGATATAAGCTTGCTGTGCTTGTAACACTTGGTGCGATATTATGAGTCAATAAAGCGTCATTTAACAAAAAAAATACTATTAAAAGAATGTCCTTAAAAACTAACTCTTGAAAATAACTTTAACAGAGACTAATCTAGAGCAACATAAACACTGGTAGATGCTTACTTAGCAAAGATTTTTGTCAACTACTTGTTAAATCTCCAATCATATAGTGAAAACCATCCAAGGCATTCACATCACCAAATTAGGAAGTGCAAGTATAAAGAAATATACTCATAAGGATGAATCAAAGACCTGTGAAGTGGTTATGTAAAGCATTGGAGCCATATAGGACAATATATGGAACCAAGAGAGGATTTTCAGAAGGAAGATGGATACCGATTCAAGTAGGTATTGTGTTTCAGCCTCAGTCCTTGTATCATTGATTTTCCGACCACTTATTATTTCCAAAATGACTATACCAAAGCTGTATGTGTCAACCTTCTCCGATAGCTGGCCGTGGATTGCATACTCAGGAGCAGTGTAACCCCTGTTCAATAGTAAAATATAATTAGAAAAGAAACAGTGTGACCAATGTATTATTTACATGTTCAAACTTACAATGTTCCTGCAAATCTAGTGCTGAGATGACTATGATCATCAGGTAGGAGCCTTGCCAAACCAAAATCAGCAATCTTAGGTTGGAAGTCATCATCAAGAAGAACATTGCTAGATTTAATGTCACGGTGTATGATACACACATGAAACTCTTGATGAAGATATGCAAGGCCACGAGCCATGCCAACGATGATATTGAATCGCTGCTTCCAGTTAAGTGTTCCACGTCTCTCACCTATTATGCAAGAATGTGTGAATGTGAGATTATCACTTAGAGATGTCGGTCAGCACTGTCATAAGCTAATCAGCTCTGTTTGGAAGATTAAGGATGTAATTGCCTTTGCATAAACAAAACTACCATGGGACTAATATCCGTCGCACAATAGAGGTGTGAGTGTATGTTTCATTTTAAATTAATGAGACCTTCAAGAGCAATCAAATGGGAATAATAAGAGCAGTCCATATAAGATATTTTCTCACATGTCAAACCCGGCGGAGCCACAATTTTGGCACAGGGGTGGACCAATAACTGATTGTCATATGAATTTTGGCTCATGTTGGGTTTTTCCTAACTTTTTTTGACATGATATAAAGAGTGTTTCTGAAATATTAGGGTGCGCTGAGGTCCGCCCATGTGGCCCACGAGTGGCCAAACAAGTAAAGTAGATGAAGGAGCAAGGATCCATAGAGCATACCGTAGAGAAACTTGTCAAGGCTACTATTCGCCATATATTCATAAACAAGGAGGCATTCAGAACCCTTGCGAGAACAACCAAGAAGCCGGACAAGATTTCGATGCTGAACATTGCTAATAAGCTTTACCTCGCTTTCAAAATCTTCTTTGGCCCTGCTAGTTTGCATTACTGACAACCTTTTTACTGCAACAATTTTCCCATTTTTCAGTAAGCCCTGTTATAAATGGACAAAATAAATAAATAAATCACTTCTGCAATAATCTAGTAAAGTACAACGAAAAAGCAACTTGGTATCATGATGTTCTTATTATGTTTTTCTGTCCTTTTGTCTGCAAATCTTCATAGTGCATTAAATATTTGAAGACCACCATACCTTAAAGACATCTCCAAAACCTCCTTCTCCAATTTTACTTTTCTCACTAAAATTATTGGTTGCAGCCTTAAGATCGTGATAGTTAAAATTTGTTGGACCTTGCAGTTCCGTTGCTCCAAGTATATCACCTAAATAAGATACAGTCAGGTGAGGAAACACACATTCAAATAGAAATTAATTTATTTTATTTTCTAGCTAAATTTCTAAAACAATTTAATATGCAAAATAGGGAAGCTAAAAATGGAACTGGTTACACTTGCAAATACAAAACAAATGCAAATGGTTCTATGCCAAATGCTAATACATTTAGTATAGTATGCCCTTGTAAAAACAGGCACAACCTCTCGCTAACTATCAACACTCGATATCATTTACATAGCACTACATAAATAACCAAAAAATAAATACACGGTGAGTACAAAAGGAGCATCACTCAAAATATTTAGAGAAAAGGAGAATAAAACAAATAAATGTGATAAGAATCAAGGCTCCACAACATAACTACAAATTATGGGATAATTCGAAGGTGTGGCCAGAGGCGCATGCATGCCCCTGGATGAAAATAACTGATTTTCAAATTTCGAAAAATTCCGACATATGTACTCTATTTGTTTTCTATGCTTGTAACTTTCAGAAATATGATCAAAGATTTCTAGCATGAATTAATTATTTTCTTTGCATGATTTCGATAAGTGCTCATTTTATAACATGATGAAAATATGTCAAAAATTTGAGAAAAATTGTAGTGCTTAAGTGTGTGAAACCTAAATTCAATCGCTCATGCTCACACACACAGACCACAAACACCCACACACACACATGTACGATATCAATTCCCTTTTTATATGTCTAAATTCGAACGCCCAGTGTGGCAAAATGGTTACTTTTCATGGAAATTTCAAGCATTTACATGTTTCTTTTACATTTGAAAACATATTTTTCAAAAAAAAAATTGTTCTATGGGAGTGCATGCTTGGTGGAGCCATTTCGCTTCTCTTGACATTATGTTTCTTCAAGGTGGAAATTGTATGACAGCCATGACTCATGAAAACATATCTACTTTGGCTCTGCTAAATTCGGTGCCAAAATATATAATGACAACTTCCGAAATTCACTTTGTTTTCAGAGACCTTCTATAAAATTACGAGTTGCCAATAGGGATTGTTTGCATACTTAACTTAATGACCAAAGGCAATCTGACTATTGTGAAAAAAATTATGAGTGACCCAGTAACAATGGATATTGTGTCATTCAAGTTGGCATCAATAAATGATTGATGGTCATTAGTAATAAAGTTAAAATCCACAATGTGATAATGTAGTTAGTTATGTGAAAACAAGTCAACATCTCGCTCTCTTATTACATAATTTGGGTGTCCTATCCAATGGATGAATTAGGAGCCTATGTTGAGTTGTGAAATGATAGAACTATATGCCATTATCATCATGGGAATACACGAAACTAGTGACATGGCATTGCGGATGTTCTCTTGAGGAATCTCATTAAATTGAACTTACGGAATCACATCATGACCCTCAAGTTGACTAAATGGAAGCAACTTTTTCTGAACTCGAGGCAAAAAATTTACAAGTTTCATTAATTAAGAAGATTTGTTTTGCCTAGTTACTGACATCAACTTGGACCATGTTTGTAAGATCGCATTGAATAAGTTGACATGAACCGAAGAGCATTAACTTCTCGAAAGTGATGTACTTCGTGACATTTACCTCTTCGAGGCTTCTTTAGCTTCATAGACCGCCAGGTCCAAAACAAAGCTAATAACCCTAGAAGCAACAGGAAGGCCAGACCTCCCAAAATTGCTCCTACAATGGCCCCCTTCCCTCTTGATTTTCCTGTAGAAAGAATGAATTGTGAGCTCTGATTCGGAGATGAAATATGAGTCAGAAACATAAAAAATTCATTGACTATGTGGTTTTTGTAGAACATAATATAACAATCCAATTGACATCAAAGTTCAACCAAACATGTTCCCTGGAGCAATTAAACATGTCTTAGCATTGTGACAAAATAGAGAACGTTAAAGTTCAAACTCACCCCAAACACCGGTTTCCAAATGTTAAAAAATACGATCCAGAGTAGTAAAGTTGAATTGGCCATTAGATGATGCAAGACAAGTAAGAGAGGTAAATATGGTCCACTAGCCCATGGTTGACTAGGGCCTTCCTTTTGAATTTGTCTTTGTATTCCTCCTTTTCATTTGACTTGTTGACTATGACTACTCGCTTGGTCCTTTGTTGAATTGGCCTGACTTTGACAATTGGCCACGTAGATGCCACATGGGAAACATGGAGAACCCCATCCTATATATACCTAAAAAGTTCATGCCGGTATCTTATCTATCTCAAAATGCAAATATGCCACATGACCGTACAATTATGAATGGATAAGATCCACCTTAACTTGCAAACATGAATGGGAAAAGACCTACCACCACATGCAACCATGCATGAAAAACTATTTTTCATTCTATTATTCTAATTGCATTTAATAAATATTTTACAATTTCGGTTCACGTGTCAATAATCTAAGGCCTCCTTTGGTTCATAGGATTGGAAAATCATAGAAATAGGAAAGTCATAGAAAATGAGATGAAATGCATCTCAAATCCTATGCATAGGAATAGAAAAGGAGATGTCCTTTGATTCACACCATAGGATTTTTTCCATTGAGTCTAGGCTAATGTTTATTTTCCTATGAAATGTGGAGGATAGGAAGAATTCCTCTATAGGAATAGGATTTCATTCCTACAAACCAAAGAGCTCTGAAGGAATTTTTCCTATAGAAATCCTATCCTATGAAAATCCTACAAAATTCCTCCAAACCAAAGGAGGCCTAAATATTATATTCCACATGATCAATTCTAATTGAAATATATTGCACTCGGTTCGTGCAGCAACGTGAGATGTATCATCTAGTTCACGGAATTATTATCTCCCCAACTGTAGCCCCCTTGACCAGTACTCACATCAATCATTGATGTAGTTGCAGGACAATTCTTCATGTTTGATGATCTTCTATGCAGATTCCATGGTTTGGGGATCGTTTGAGAAAAAGCAATCCTGAAATACGGCACTACTTGAGGTGGTGGTACCATCCTTGTCCGATGTCGTAGGACAAAAATCACAGCAAAGATGTCGTACGCACAAGAGGAACTCACCAGAGCGCAAGTAGGGCGTCAGGTCTGCCGTCGCATTAGCCGGGAAGAAGGGCTTATCAGAGTACCTCATGAAGCACCCGGCGTCCACTGCCCGGCCGTCGGAATTGGGCGGGCACCGGTCAATGTTGCTCGCAGCTACCTGGAGGCACTGCGCGCAGCCGTCCTGCCCGACCGTCTCCACACACTGCGCCATCGCGTACACGCCGGTGCCCGCGGCCGCCGCAGCTAGCCGCGGGAAGCGAGGCACGGCTGCCGCGAGGTCGTTGATCAGCGCCTGCACCGCGCCGTCGAAAGCGGTGCCGGGCACGGCGGAGCCGTTGCAGCGCTGCGTGTTGCCAGGGAGGGTGGACTGGTCGAAGAACGCCACGCTCTCGTACCGTATGACGCAGCCGTCGAGGATGGCGCGCCCGCCGTTAGCAGCCCCGCAGGCGGCGTGGATGCGCGCCGCGGCGGCGTCGAAGCAGGCGACGCAGTCCCTCCCGGTGACGTATGGGCGGCACTGCGCCAACGCGAACGCCGGCGCGGCGGCGCGAGGCTCCGCTGCGGTGGCGAAGCCGCTGCCGGCGGAGAGGTTGGCGCGGAGCTCAGCGAAGGTGGAGTTTAGGGCCGCGAGGAAGGCGGCCGTGGGCGTGGCGTTGTACTGGCTGCACCCAAGGTTGAGCTGCGTAGCCTGCGGGTCAGCGACGGTGAAGGGAACCAACGCGCAGGTGACCGCCAGCGCTAGAGCCGGCAACAGCGGGAAGTGAGCCATGCGGTGCATCGGCGAGAGCAGAGGAGAGAGGAGAGGAGAAATCGCCGTGGACGCTGGGTTTTGGACGAGAGGGTCGGGCAGAGGGTGGATTTGGGTTGATTGAATTGCCAAGTACTAGGAGGTGTGCAGTGTAAATTAGTTGGAGTCATGGAACAAAAATGCGAGACTTAAGGCCAAGGGAAACGTTTGAGTCCGGCGCGCCGGCTGAGTGTTGCGCCGGTAGCGCGTGGTTCATTGGATCCAGTGTCATCGTACGGTAGCAATGCGCGACACGGTCTCTCGCGTTGTGGGACGCGTGGGTTGGCAGGCCCCACGAACCGCTGAAGCAGCTGCAGCCTTATCCATTTTTCACAGTGGCACTGCATCCATTCATTAGCCACCGCTCCAACTAGATCAAGCAAATCCAAAGCTACTGCCTGCTCCATCGAGGCGAAATCTATCTTTGGCCGAAATTGATCAAATTTGGCAAACTTGGGTCAAATTTTGGCCGAAGTTTTTGTAAATGGCCAAAATTCGGCCATCTCAGCCAGGGCGGAAAAATCTCAAACCGAAAGTCAAAACGCATGCCCACACCCATGCACTCTGCGAGTGGCGAACCGAGGAGGAGACCATGACGAGCGACGGGGGCAATGGGCCGGTGCGGCTAGTCCCGCCTACCCGTCCCACTCCGACGCGGTGGCGTGGCGGCGCTGCTGGTCGGGGGGCTCTCCGTCCACCTCCCCATCTCGGCCGGTGCCGATCCTTTTCCCCTCCACTGCGCTCCTTAGGCAAGCCCAAGGCAGCAGACCAAGATGCTCCAATCGCTGGCGCCGGGCGCTGGAACCAGCGGGGAAGGGCTGCGACTGGCGTCCTGGGATGCTTCAACGGCGTCCCGGCGAGCTGGAAATCGATGACCATCTACGGCGTGAACTGGCATGGCGTGCTGCAACCGGCCGCAGAGAAGCTACAGCCGCCGGTGCGGTGTGCCGCAACCTGCGATAAGAAGTGCTACCATGGGCATGCGGCAAGCGAGCTCAATCCCATGATGCTGGAACCATCAAAAAAATTGCTGGAAGCAGCCTTCTTCCCCAGGCAACGGAGCTCGGCGAGCAATATGCTACAACCGGCCATCCAATTTGCTGGAACCAGCAAAAAAATTGCTGGAACCGGCCTTCTCCCTCGGTGCAATGGAGCTCGGCAAGCAATTTGCTACAAGCGGCGATCCATTTTGCTGGAACCAGCAATTATTTTTGCTGGAACCAAATTCTCTTCATGAGTTGCAGTGCCGAGGTGTGTTGCCTTTTTTGCTGCGACTGGCGAACAATTCCGCGAGGTTGTCGTCGGGGTGCCGCGACTGGTAGCGACACCACCGGAGCTATTGCGTTGCACCGGAGCTACGATTGTCGCCATGGGAGCTACAGCCACGAGCGCACGCTACTGGATGCGCGTAGCCAGCGAGAAATGCAGAAGACAATGGCGGCGAGGGGCGGCGTGGGGTAGCGACCAGTGGCGAGGGGGGCCGAGATGCGTCGGAGCGGTCCTTTGAGGCAGGCCATGTCGCTCATCTGCGACGGCGTGATTGGAGGTTTCCTAAGAGAAAAGTACGCCAGGGGAGGAAGAAAGAGATCGTGCGGTGTGTACGTGATCTCATTGTACTAAATCGAGTGGTTAGGGATAGACCGGCCGAAATTTTGGGCCGGTGCGCCGGCACCTATTAGCGCCCTAAGGCGAAAGGGTGTTTCCTTCCGCCAAGAAGCTAGAAACTGCGTAGACATCTCAATCCCTAATTATATTAATCGTATTTATGTATTTTAGTTTTAGTTCATATATTTATAAATCCAAATGATCATGTCTGTGGATGGCATCTGGAAGACGGAGCGTGTGCTGAGTTCGTGGTTTGTGGATGGCAGGTATGGTTTCCTCCTTCGGTGTCTTAGTCGTGGTGGGGTGTTAGATCTGGAGTTCGATGGCGTGTCCAGGGTGTTGCCCCGGTCTGCTTCGTTCAACGGCAATGGCTTTACTTTTGGTGAGCCACCTTGGAGGTCCGCAAAGCTGCATATCAGCGATGGAGCAACGTCGAGCTCGGGTAGGGAGGTGATCTGTCATTCTTTTCTTCGATGGCTGCTGTGGTGGTGCCGGAGGCAGGTGACAGGCGTTGGTGTCAAACTCAAAGATGTTCTGCTATCTTTTCAGTTTTGTCATGTCGGTCATTACGTGACTTGTACTTTGATCTTTATGATATGAATGAGACACATATTACCATGCAAAAAAATAATCATGTGTGTATAACCAAATTTTATTAGAATTATTGCAAGGAATCCCTGCAGCAATGCACATGGTATCATCTTGTTTAATTGTGGGTCCCTCCCGTTATGTAATTTTACCTTAAACCTTCACCTCATCTCGTAAATTTTCCATTATGAAAAAGATTATGTGACTGTTGGATTGCTTATGTTGGGGAATAAGATGTATAATCCATTGGAACTTTTTTTTTACTGGATTCTCATTCTCACGAATAAAAATATTGAGTGGTTGTTGGGGGAATTGAATCAGACACAGATAACAGTTTGTAGTGAGTGGCTGTGGCTCAGCTGATTTAGAAGCAGTTTTTTTTATAAAAATCATTTTTATTAACATAAAATATAGTATTAAGCGGATACAAAGCATGATAGCAACATCCGACCTCTGCATAGAATGTACACAGCCAAACATTAATAGACTGACATAAAAGAACTGACATATGGACAAAAGCAGTTATCTCTTGGCTAATACTAATAATCATCTCATCATGATCGTCTTACCACTTTTATAGTTTAAGAGGACTGGAACGGATGATTCTTAGCAGTGACTTAGAAATAGCAAAGTCACAAATTATGCCCCATGATGAACCCTCTGTAGCACCGGAAAGTCAAACAAACTTAGCGGTCGGTCGGCGTGGAAGTATTCACAATCGACTGCAATTCCTGTGATTAATAAGCGTTAATTGCAATGTCAAGCCACAACTCTATAATTGTCCTTCTAGTGGTCGTCAGATGGACTCTACAATTGCAGCCAAGCTGATCCAGTGGCGTGAACTGATAGATCGGTTTATTCCTCCCTCTTTAAGGAAATCTACACCTTATGTGTCTTCGTAAAATTTGTATTACTCATGTTAACCATACTCAGCATAAGATTAGGGATAGCTTAGCTAAGTTTGTTAGATTGGAGGACAGAACAATGACTTGGGTTGGATCTAGCCCTCCAGATTCTGTAGAGCTAGCTCTCGCAAATTGTAATGACGATGTTATTGAGTAATACAATGGTTACACCAGCAAAAAAAATGAACTCTTGTAGGGGAGTGATGGCAGCAGCATGTGGACAACTTGTTTTGGCGACCACAATGATCGTTTGATGGTCTAGGGACCTTGGTGTAATTTTTGAAATGTCTACATTGTATTTCTGATGAATTTTGATAATAGATCTAGGTCTTATTGAAAAATGTGTTAATTGAACGGTGTGTAATGAAGTTTCCTTCCCATCGCACTCGTGGTGGCTGCTTTCTGAGACGCGGATAGTCCAAGTGCACACATTGACGGCTAGCATACGGCAACTGAAAGTGAAAGAGACATTGTAAATTGTAATGTAGTGGGAGAGGAGTAGACTCGCCCGTGTAGAATGGAATGGTCTGTCAATTGTCCACATCTCTGCCCATGGCTTCTTCCACTCAAACTCTACGCTCCGGCCACTTCTGTTTACCATCAACTGGATTAGAGCATCTTCAGCCGTGCCCCAACAAGGTCCCCAAGCGATTTTTTGATCGTCGGCTCGAAAAATCGGCTCAGTCACGTTTTCAAAGGCCTTTTTTTCGTCAGCTCGGGCCGAAATTGGCACCAGCGGTCCCAAGCCGAACCCGGCGTGCTGGGGGTGCTTGGGGTACCGGCCGAATCGTTTTTGACGCGAAAATCGGCGAGCTCTCCTTGGCAGCGACTCGGCTCTTCTCGTCGCTTCGTCGTCCTCATCACCTCGGTTCCCGTGGCGGAATCAATACCAAAGCTGCCGCGCGTTGCCGTGCCGGTCAACCTCCTCCATTGGTGCCACACGGGCGGCGCAGTGAAGACGGGACGACGCGCGTCCCTCGTCCGCCACGCGTACACACGGTGGCCACACGAGCGCCACCTATATAAGCCGACCCCTACCGGTGACGCACAGACTCTCCACCGCCAATGCCCCCATTCCTCCCTCTCTTCTCGCCGTCTCCAGCTCACCCAATGGCCGAGCGCTTTCCAGGCGACGGCGCGGCGGCGAACGGCTTCGGCCGCCGCCACCTTCACGAGGACAAAACTCGGCTTCTCTATGAGGCCGAGTACCCGGCCCCGCCGAACATGGGGTGCCCGGGGCTTGAAGGATCAGCGCCGGCGGGGTCCCGGTGCCACCACCGTCCACCGGGGCGACGCGTCGTGCGGAGATCGCCCGTATCCGTGCCTCTCTACCGCAGGCGGCGAGGGAAGGGCCGAGGTATGTCCCCGACAGCCCGCTGTGGGAGCAGTATTTCCGTCGCCGCCACGCCGAGCAGCTCGAGGCCACCAACGGCGTCGTGCCCTCCGAAAGGCTCAACTCCGACGACCGTCGCCGATGGTGGGGCGTGCCCGGCCTGTGACGCCCGGGTAATTAAACTACAGTGATCCTTTGCTAATGATGCCATGTCACCACTATTACTGTTACTAATCTCCCGTTGATCCAAATCCGCTTCAAATTCAAATTCAAATAATAAGTGAAATGCTAAACTTCTCAAACATGAAAACTAAAATGATCATCTTGTGGAAAATAATTCATAATCAATTATGGTGGTGAACCAACTTTTTACAAAGTGGTTTAATGCCATATAATAAATAAAATAGAACACAAAAAGAAATAAAAAGGTTAAAAAGGAAAACCCCAGGCCAACTGGGCCGTGCGGCCCCTAACCGCCTGGGCTGGCCACAACAGGCCCACCTGCCAGTGCGCCCACCTCCCCTGTTCCACCGACCGCGTCGCTACAGGGAGGGGTCGCC